CAGTATCTGCTTTATTTGTTTGGTACTCCACACTACACCCTCATTTATCTTCGAGGAGTAGGGACACAAAAGCAAAGGAAAATTTAATTGAAATTTGCCCTGAATTCATTAGAATGCATATGACATATCAGCTGCCAGCCAGCAGATCTACCCTGAAGACACCTGGGAAGCATGCAAGATATCTTTTATTAAAGTGACACCATGCTCTGGTGCCCAACCACTGTGCAAAGTGACAGTGAACAAGGAAGACAGGTCAGTAATAACAAACCTATATCCAAAGAAACAGCTAGCAAATATCTTAAAAAATAAAAACTTTAAAGATACCCTCTGTATTTAGCGAGGATGATGTTACAGAGGCTTACAAGGGCAGCTTTTTCCACATGAAAATGCAGCAATAATGTTAAGTTTATCTCTCAATTTAAAATGAAAATATGTTTAATAATGGGTCTTAGGCAACATTTTTCCAGTATAAGCACCTATAGCATTAGCAGGCTAACAGTTAAGGTCTTGAGTGTCCTGAAGTGCTGACCATCAATCAGCATCTGTTACACTTGGCATTTATGTTTTGTTTCAATTACTGTCAGTTGGGTTATGGAGCATCACTGTTCCAAAACAAATGCTTACAATTTCTAGGTAGGCTGTTCTCCCTTCTGTGTTCATCTGTCCAATTTACAAAGGTGCTAAGTGATCCTTGTTCTTGGACGTGCAGGTGTAAGTAAGAATAGCATACTTGCTCTCTGAACACAATGTCTTTCTTCAGATTCCCATTCTATGTGGCACAGCAGAAAATTAAGAGCACTTCAGGGATCCTCCACGCATATAAAGCTTACGCTGTCAGGAAGGCATGCAACTGACCAAATATTTCATCACAAAAACAAGGAGACCAGGCTCACATGCAAGTGCATGCAGGAAGAACTGAGGGAAAGCAAAAGCGTACAGGAGCACCACTCCACAAGTAATTAGTCTGGTAATTTGCACTACAGCAATACTCATTTTAGACTTTGAAGCAGTGGAAAGACTGAGGAGGAACAGCTTTCCTTGCAGGTTATAAATACTGCATTACTACTGCAGAAGTCAACTGCTAAAGGTTGGAACAAATTGATATAGAGCAGCTAGAAAAAAAATGAAGATTGCCTTAATGTAAATTTTATCTAGAATGAAAACTTCAGCATCCACTTACTACAATCAAAACGCTCAATCCAGAAATATCCCCTGAAGCACGGATTTCCCACTTGTCTCAGTTGAATTATGAAGAGAAAGCCAAATCTCCAAAGTGGGCCTTAGAAACTAACAAAATCATCCAAGGAGGAGGACAGCAAGGGTGAAGACAAAAAAAAAATAATCAAACACCAGGATACATCCAAAGCATACAGCAATATGTAACTATGTTCTTATTCTGTAAGAGGAGACGAGACTGAAGGAAGATGTGGTGTAAGTATTACTGTCACTTAGGGAAATATTTTGTTAAACCAAATGAGGTTTAACAAGAGCAAGCATAGAGTCTTGCACCTGGGAAGAGTAACAGCAAGTATCAGTGCAGGGTGGGACATGACCTGCTGAGAGGAACTCTGTGGAGGACCTGGGGGTCCTGGTGGATGACAGGTTGGCAGTGAGCCAGCAGTGTGCCCTGGTGGCAAGGAGGTGATCCTCCCCCTCTGCTCTGCCCTGGTCAGGCCTCACCTAAAGTACTGTATCCAGTTCTGGACTTCCTGGAGAAAGTCCAGTGGAGGGCCACAAAGATGATTAAGGGAGTGGAACATCTCTCTTATGAAAGTCTGAGCAAACTGGATCTGTTCAGCCTTGAGAAAAGACAACTCAGAGGGGATTTGATTCATGCTTATAAATATCTTAAGTGAGGGAATCAAAGAGACACAGCCAACCTCTTTTGAGTGGTCTGTAGGAACAGGACAAGGGGAAACTTGATCACAGAAAGTTCTGCACCAATATGCAAAGAATTCTTCACAGTAAGGGTGATGGAGCACTGGAACAGGCTGCCCGGGGGGGGAGTTGTGGATTCTTGTTCTCTGGAGATATTCAAGATCCCCTGGACACCTACCTGTGCAGAGCGCTGTAGAGGACCTGCTTTGCAGGGGAGCTGGACTCGATCTCTGGAGGTGCCCTCCAGCCCCTACAATTCTGTGATACTCAATAGGCAAGAATTGATTCTTTCCAGAGAGAACAATGAAAGTAGGTTTGTAAGATCAGTAGGAATCTCAGGCAATTTTCTTTTTGGCTGAAGATGGGGCACTAATGCCAAACAGCCCTGAGCCCAACCTACTCTATCAGAGCAAATACCATTGCCCTTTAAGGAGTGCGACTGGTAAAACCTCTTTGCTTACAGGAAGTCCACTTTAATCAGTGCTTTCCAAGAATCTTCCTCTATAAACACATGCCCTATAGCTGTTTGTACTCCAGCTCTATTGAAGTCTGTTACTTGACAACCATGTCATTAGCAGAGTCTCTGAGATTGACCCTGTTTCCTCCCCTCTCAAGGAAAAAATGACCAATCTGATTCCTGAAGAAACCCAATGCAGTTACACGTGCCACATGTTATATACGCCTCTTCATTGCATGTAGAAAACTGCTTAATTTGCAAACAGATCCAAAGAAAGCAGGACTCATTAACTCAGAGTGCCTACTAAAAAAACAGGTTTAGTTTTACTGGTTTGATTTTTTCAATAGCATTTGATAGCATTCTCTCAACATTTGTTTTTAAGAGGAAGAACTCCCTAAAGGTACAGAATAAATCTGTTTCATTGCCAAAGAGTTCAGCATTTCTTTCACTCCTATGACAAGGACTAGCATTCTAAGGAAGCTTATCCTGCCTGGGATACAGGAGATAAAAGGACTCCAATCCTGGAACAATTGAAGAGGTGCTCATACTTGCCTCCAAGCATCTGTACCCTGGACATTATAGCTTTTTATTTTTAAGAAAGCATGTATTTCAAAAGGAAGTGTCTAGGCTGGACCTAGTTCTGTTGTTTCTCAGCGATTTAATAACTGTCCAGAGAAGATGAACAAACTCAACATCTAGGCTTCCCTTCTAAACAATTCCCATCTGCATCTGACAGAATGAACAAGAGGTTTCGCTGAACTAAAATGCCACACTACAGAGCCCTTAAGCTCAGCAAAGGGACTTAAGACTGCAGCTGGCACACAGAGATGGCATTTCACTAGTCTGCACTATGAATTCATTATGAAGACAAGGCATAATGATTTGTTCAGGAGAGCAGCCTTCAGATAATATACCATTCTCCCCCAGTAGCTTACACACAATATAACCCTCTGGTGCTTGGACAACTACCTTTTCTATGTTCTTGCAGGAGATATCTGAAGCAAATGGTTCTGCAAAGCTAATGATGTGTTACTGGTAACAAGAACTGCACTTGAAGGAAGCAAAGTGTGAGAAATAGTAGTGTTCAAATCTCAAGAACTCATATTCAGCTTTGACAGGGATCTGTACTACGAGTACTCAATGCATAAATAAGATCTATGATAGAATGAAATAAATCTTGGGAAAAAAAAATCAAAATATAACTTGGGCATTGTTATCACAAGATTTCAGAAGTGAGGGTGATTGTCTTCAGCAACAGTGAGTACCCAGATAAGCCTACACAGACTAAACTGCTTTCTCAGCAAGAATGAAACATCTGTTCTTACTGAGCTGAAGATCAGAATTTGACCTTTGCAAATGACACCATCTTAGGCCCCAGTATGGTCCCAGCTGCACAATCAAAAGCCAAGGGATATAAGATAGTTAAAATGTTAGTTGACATTGTCAATATTAATCTGGGCCAAGAAAAGAGATGACAAATTAATAGAGGTTATGGCAAGCATCTACAGCAAACTTACTTTCCACACAACTTGCTCATGCACCTTCAGACTGCCTTCACCAAAACAATCCACTGAGATGAGCTCAGCCTGCTACCCATTGTGGTAAATGGCTGGACTTCTCTTGCTCAAGAAGGTACCAGTTCTTCAGCATACCTTCTGTGTACCCACACTGTTCTCAGCAGTATTCAGAGCAACTGCTGTACACTAGAAACCTCACAGCTCAGTGTTCACAGTTCTCAAAATGGTTTTAGAACTTCCAGGACTCTTACCACATTAGCTCAGCATAATAAATGCTAAACAATACACTTCATTTTCATGGTGTCTTTTTCTTTCACATTTCCTTTCCTCTCACCTTTCAAGACTCAAACTTTTAGCTCCCCCCTCTTCATCAAGGCTGCTTGGTCCTGTGCCACTCACCAGAGGAGACCAAAGGCTGGCTAACATGTCAGGTGGTGCTTGTTAGTGGTTTTGTACTGTTTAGTCAAGTAAAAATGAAGAATGAATATCTACTCCTTTCTGGCATCTAATAGAGGAGAACTACAGGATGTTCCCAAAGCTTTTATCATCTACTCTTTCTTCCAAGCTCTTTCCTTCACGATTTTCTATATAACCTTTAAGATATTTTCAAGTGCCTTCTTATAATCCTCCAAATAGATACTGCCTGCATCCAATTAATGCATTTTTGTCTTACATCATCTGAGAAGATTCCTGAAAAGTACTCATAAAATAATCTGTAAAACCTTGATTTTATCTCAAACCTATTTTATCTCAAAATTTTCAGACGTTCAGTGTCCCTGTGGGTTCTGGAGAAAAGACTAGTATTTGAATTTATACAGGAAACCTACCACCAGTAATCAATTCATAATCCAGACAGCTAGTACAAGAAACTAAACAAAGCCCAGTGTAATTTCAGACCACTGTAAATAAAATCAATTTCTACAACTGGAATATGTGATACAGTAGCAGCTTTCTTAGCTCTTGCAATACAAAATGATCTCAGCCTACAAACCATCCATTTATTGGATGCCCACAGTAACTTACCATTTGGATTCACACTAGTTACACTCGAGCACAAAGCATTTGCCACTACCCTTCTTTTCCTTTTATAAAGAAAAGAAAAAAAGGCCACTTTATTTCTTGTTGCTGTATTAATAAGGCTTACTTACTGCTTCAGAATTATCAATGAAAGGGTCTGTTTCATCATAGCCGTAACCTATATCAATGAGATCCTGCAGGCGATCCTTCCGATGTTTGTGGGGCTTTCCACTCTGGAAAAGAAAAGAAAAGTTATATCAGTTGGGAAGAAAGCAAACAAAAGTCTACAAAACGTAGAACACTGGTGTGATAGTCATTCAGGGAATCAGCAGAGTTTTACTCTGATGTGTCTTTGAAGACTGTCTACGTAAATAAAAACCAAAAGGCATAACTTTCACATAGGAATGAGTTCCTGCAAGCATGCTGAAATGCTGTGTAAATGCCTTATCAGAATCATTTCTGAAAGTTATTCATTAGCCACCTGGTTTCTGGGTGACTGAAGTATTCCTAACATTTTCTGCTGAGACGTGTTTCATCGCTCTGGTTTTAAAATTCTGTTAGTGATAGAACTGACATAATTTAGGTAGCGTTAAGTCTTTCAGTACGCTACAGGGCCATTACAAAGGAGAACACAAACAGCCTTGCATTTGCTAACAAGTTTTCCCACACGAGACAGACTGCCTTTCTACAGGAGTGTGAAGCCTAAGCCAGAAGAGAAAAATATCTGGTGCTTGCAGATATGGAGTGTATGAGTTTCCAAAAAGTTACAGCATTTATTTAACATAACTGAAGAAAAACACAGTAAGACGAAATACCTTGAAATACAAGAGCTGTCACTGCAGTTGATAGGACCAGACATGAGATGGTTACTTGAGTTACCTTAAAGCCATGAGCTACATTGTAGATTGTGCATTCACTTACCTTCAAGAGAAAGTAAACTTCAGTTTAACCTGTAAGTACTCTTCCAACATGAAAGTGTAACTGTTCAGTAAAAAGTCACATGGAGCTCAAACCAGCAGCAGGATAACTGAACTTAAGGCTTTCCAAACAAGCAGTGCCTAAGATGTGAGGCCTAGTTTTCTGACTCCTGCATACTGTGGAAATTGTCAATATAAAATTATTAAAGCTAAGTGCCTAAGGGCACCATCTTTACTAAAACAGTATCAGGCTCTTCCATGAATATTTGTCAACTATGACCAAAGTGTATACTCCTGGCAAACAAACAGGTATAACTAAACCAATAAACACAATTGTACAAGAAAAAAAACCACAAAGGTGAGTTCTATTTCTAGTTCAGGTTTCCAATCTAATAGTACCCCCAACCTTTTTTTATCCGTTCTGTCATCCCCTATAGCCAAGTTACTCATCTGATGCTTTGGGAATACGCAGACATGCAGTAGCTTTTTGTTTTAAAAAAGAAATATTGGATGAAAGAAGAAAACATTTGAAAAGCAGAGGTAAAATTTAAGTGTTCTTTTTTAAATTCCAGTGCATTTCACGCAAGTTTGTAATTCTCATGATTCTGTAGCAACTATAAGTTAATGAACACTATGGCATTTTGCCTCTACAATCCCATTAATACAGTATAGCGCAATCCACCTCTGTATTATTTCTCTTAACTCCAGATAATTAAGAACACAGAGGGGCACATCCTTGTTCATGGGTTACAAGTCTTTTTGCAGTAATGCCTACTTCAGTACATACAAGCATTTAACAGAGATTTCCCAATGCATTTTTACTGCATGTTATTCATAGACATTCAGCACAGATATGGGACAAGCCTAATAAATGAAAGTCTTCTAAGAGCAGAGTGAGTAAAGGTAGGATTAAAACAGTAAGTTGTCTTGAGATAGAAGCAGATATGATAGTATCTGAACCACCATACCTGGAGTCAGAGAATTTCCTTCAGGCTGACTCTACCAAGCTATGTGTAAGGAAGTGTGTTAAAAGTCTACAGGCTCATCTCTATCGATGTTCCAGACAAAACTGAAGCAATCTTCTGCATAAATGCTTACCACACAATAATTAAGGGAAGTTTTACTACTGGTGTTATTCCACCTCTCTTCTCAACAAGCTTCTCCAACCTTTCAGTCCCAAAGCATAAGCAGCCATGACACCAGAGCAAACTGAGGATTCCTGAAGCTACAAATAGCACTCATGCAATTGTTCAGAAGCTCAAATATTAATTCAACGATAGAGCATAACACGAAGTTTAAAGAACCTTCACACCACAGAAAGTAGCAAATACAATGCCCCTGGAAGACTCTTCAGAAATGAGTCAATTTCATCTCTGTATTGGGCACATTAATAAAAGTTAAAAAACAAAACCAGGAGATACAAGAATACACATTCCAGCGCAGAAAATAATTTTGCTGGAAGGAAACAGAACCTCAAAATTCGAAAAAAAGACCCCAAGGTGCTTAAAGACAGCAAACTATCACTGGATGAGAGAGAAGGTCCACTCAAATTAATGACTGGTTTAAGGCCAGTATCCGAAGGGTAGGAACGAATGGGTCACCAAGGAACATGTATCCATCTGCAGAAGCAACAAAGAAGGCTAACAGCTGGGGGGCGGGGAGGAAGAGATAGATGACAGAAATTACTCAGTGTAGTAAATATGAGAGGCAGCTGAAGGAGCACTGTGACCACTCGGTTCTCAGTACTTGAATAGTAAATTGAATTCTATGATAATAAAAGGAAGGTAATCCGCACAAAGGAAGTATAACCCTAACAACAAATACAGCGTGCTCCCAATTTGTTATGCTGCTCAGGAAGTGCTGGAGTCATTACATGGAGTTCTATGACATTTGCCCGACAATCAGCAGTGGTCAAAAAAGGAAAGAAATAGGACTTAGGAAAAAAAAAAAGAACAAAACCAGAAGTCATGATTATATCACCGATAAATCAGGGCATCCTACTGCTAATGTTCTTTCATTTAAAAAAAGAAACTGGAACAAAAAAAGGGAACAGTGAGCCAACAAAGATTTTAAAGGTAAAAAGCTGCTACTGTACAGTATCAGAGTTCAGCTGGAGAATGAAATGACAGACTAGCTGATAGCATCAGAATCACACGCAGCATGGAGAAGAACAGGAAGCCATTCACTCCTTCTCACAATACATGAATTAAGGAGCACCACACGAACTTATTAGCCAACAATTTTACACAGAATGTTTTCACATAGCAATCACCACGCCACTCAGTGCTGTGGAATACAATGTTAAATATCAGTAAGCTCAGAAGATGGCCTGGCAGATTTACGGCAGAAAACTACATGAATGGTGGCTAAACACACAGCCCTCGGCTTGGGAAGAAATGAAGCCACAAACTGATCGAAAGGCACGCTCAGGCAACATCAGCACACACTTGCTCTGTTACACTTTCAAGCATGAGGTTCCTATAGGGTCAGAGAACTGTTACAACTGACCACTACTGATCTTATTTCAGGATTATTATTTTTAACATTTTATATAATATTGCCTGAGATTAATATAATGTTTTCACAGCATATAGCATATAATGTTTAATTTTACTAAAGAATAAGAAAGCAGGACTGAAAATTGCAACTATTTGGAAGAGATTTCTATGCTGGCACATTAAAACTCACAGCCATCACAATAAAGTTCTAAACAATCAAGTAAACAAACAGTGCATTAACTTTACACTCCCAGACTTAGAAAAGTTTATTAAAAGAGTTTATGTTGGTATCAACAAGATGTATCCAAAACTGTACCAATTATAAGTACAGACACTTACATGAAAAAAAAGTAAAAAAAGGTCTTTAAGGAAGAGTGCTTTCCACAAATCACTTTTTTTTCCCCACTACTACACTATCAATGCTGTGTAAAGAAGACACCTGACTCAATTTTAAATGGGTAAATCATTATCAGTTTAAAAAAGAAATAATCCTTCCTGCAAATGTGAGAAAAACCTTCATTCTCATACAACCAATGATTACTTCTACACTGAAGTATTAGATAAAGAGAATCAGCATCTACATCAGTGGATATCTATCCTAGTTTAAGCTAGGGAGTAAATGTCTCACCTCAAGATTCAGAAGCTGGCTGGATATTGTCAGAACAGGAGCAATTGCACTGGGTCAGCATACAGACATGCAATTCTTCCTACCATGAAGTGTAAGTAGAGACTGATGGCTCTTGTATTGGAAGAGAGAAAAGACTGCAACTATCTAACACAAGAACTATCAATCTCTCTGCACCCTCCATCCTTAGTCGTCCTACTCTAATAAATTGTTCCTAGAAGACATTTGCCTTCTGAGAATTTTGTGGCAGTGGGGGGCATAAGGTATGACAGAATAAAGAAAGGCAGGACCTTAGAAGCACAGTCAAATGCAAGCATGAATTCATACCCTGGTAAAACAGTAGTTCGTTATTTACTGCTTTTCTAATGGTTACAAATATCTATTTGCCTCTTACTTATGCTACTGAGCACTGGAATTAAGTTTTCATATTTTTAATAATAAACTTTGTCCATAAATGTACACGTTTAGCTTTGATGAATGAGTGTATATGCATGCATACTACGCTGCATGTGTACTAGATTGCTTCCACCACTCCTACATATATTGCTTTACATGCTCTCCACTGACTTTCATTTCCTACAATTAAGCTGCTTGTTTTAGAACATTATTAAAATCCTTAACTTGTTTTATGGAAATGAGTTTCTAGAAAGTACAATTGAAATATTTCTCTCTGAAGTTCAAAAAGTAATTTATCATTCAAATGAAAACTAAACACTATTATGGAACTGCCTTCTCAGTACACTGGCTATATTGAGTTTCTGTCAATCCCTTCAAAAAAAAGAAAATGATTCTTTTCAGTTTAAGGATTTCTTTTGTGATGTATCACATCTAACATGCTCTGAAATACTAATTGCTTCTACTGAATATTTAGACCAGATACTCCTAGAAGTCAGCCTTCGCCAGGAAAAAAAAAAACCAAATCAAACAAGTAACATTTCAATATGCATATTAATAGCAAAAGATACAAAGCACTGTTCTTGTTTCCCTTCTCTATTAGTAATTCAGAATATCAACATGTCGAAGCACGATGATGAGGTTCTGATTGCCAGCTCAGAATTAATCACCCAACCCTACCCATATGAATTCTTAAAGGCTTGCTTGGGTGTGGTTTTAGACAACACTTTCTGATTTCTACCTTCATTTATTAGTGAAAGCCTCTTTATATTATCACCTAGAGTTGTTCAAGTCATTCATGATACATTTTCAGGAGTCAGCAGAGTTAACTTTAGGCATCTGGCAGCTACAAGATAAACTCATCAAGTGATGACTTACTAAATAATAGCTTCCTATGGAAGCATTCCAAACGAGTCAGAAATTCATCAAGATTTGTCAGTACACAGCCTTAAGAGAAGAGCTGCTCAGTAGTGCACAACAGTATTTATCACTAATATCGACCTGCATTTATTACTCAGTTGCCCTTACATAGGAAGCTTTCCCAAGAATAGCTTCACAGGCAATACTATCCTATGGAGAAATCTATTTAGCAGACTTGTCTAATAATCTCGTAGCAGCTTCAAGCTACTTAGATGAAATATAAATGAGATGGCCAGCTCTGACATATACAGAAGTCATTTGACATTACACCAACATCTCTACTGAGCAACCAAAACCTGGTGTTAATGCCACACCGTCACAACTAAACACTTGCACATGCTAACAAAGGCACAGAAACTCACATATTTTGCCTCGAACTTCTTGGCTAGTGCTTCCACTTCGTGCCGCTCACGTTGTTCATCGTTGAAAGGATCTTCTGAGTGAACAGATTTCTTCTGAAAAAGGCAGAAGTATTCATTCAATTACAAGAGAAACATAAGATATGTCTAGTAAAAACCTATTAAAAGTGAATAAAGTATATTCTAACGACCAAGTAGTGGGAATCCCTAAGAGGGTCCAAATGCTTACTTCATGCTCTACAAAAGAGTGTAAGCCATTCAGTTATCATCTACTTGTCTCCTCCTAGTGAAGAGACAAATGCAAAACTAAAGGTTCAGCTTTACGTTTCCCTAAGTATTCCACTGCAACCTCAACCAAAAGCATAAGCAGAAGAGAACGCTGGCTGAACTAGAGATCCAAAGAGAAAGAACTCCAAACATAACTTACACTGGTGCCTACCCTACTGGTGCTGTGATCCTCAGGTACCACACACAAGATGTACCCAGTATGCTAACCAGCAAGAATGCTACGTAATTTTTCAATTGCTAAGTCACACTGTAACAAGTAGCTTACCCTTACCACCCCGAACTTCCTTACTGCTATATTCTTGTTTGGATAACTTCAGAATTCACAGCACAAATACTACAGTATTGTCACTACAGCAGCTAGAATAACATGATTTAATATTCCAGCTGTATAAATAAGCAGGAAGCATCCACTTCTGAGTTTCCACTGACAAGAAGTCAATGAATAATAAGAGCATGAAAAGGTGTTCTTTTTTTCTTTTTCCCAGAAAAGAAAACCTATGACTGCATTTGTTAATTTTCTACATAAAATACAGCAAAAGGGGTGGGAGTGGTAACAGTTCTAAAACATGGCAGAACAGTTAGGCCTTCACAGATGCTTCTCTAACTTTACTTCACATGAACCACTCAATGAATAAATCAAGTTCTACAACAGCCAACGATGGAACAAAAAGCAACATGCAATGCTCTGAAAAGCAAGATTGCCCCCCCACAGTAAGAGAAATTGAGTACTTACAAGAAGAGGGTTATGGCTAACCCTGAAGCATCTACTAAGTTACATATGCCTTTCCTGCATGCTACATATTAATATATATACTGCTCAATTCATAAAACACTTTCTCCTTTTAGCAGGGAAAACCCACTCTATATAGATCACTCCAAAAGTAATGCCTGCCATTTATTTCCAGGAGAAATACAACAGATACAAAGAGCACACAAACACTGATAGGAGAAATTCCCAGAGACAACACAGTATTTTTCTTCAATAGTGATGCATTTCCACCAGCAATGCCATCTTCACCACTACTGAAACACACGTCCCACCATCTCACTGTGCTCACATCCACTGTTTGGAATGTTCAATAAGCATTCATGAATGTCAAAAGGTGCCATTTTCCCACGTGGAGGAATTCAATGATACACCTTTGCTTCATATGCATTTCCATGTCAGACACCATTTTGTCCGACTGCCCATCTGCTGCCCTCTGTCACAGCAACATCATGTAACAGAATGTGGGTGGGAAGGTTCAGCCTCTATTGCCAAACTCCAACACAGGTCAAGGAAAATTAGTTAATTCTCATCTCTTCACCAAACCATCAAAGGTGTAGCTGGACTACTTTGTTATATGCTTTAAGTAGTTATTAGCAAACTTCAGTTTGACAGTACGTAAGGGCTCAGGCAGTCAGGTCTTTCAAACTTCACATTAACTTCAAGACATTACTACTTCAGCACATTTACAGCCTGCCTGACACTAGCCAATGTGGACTTCTGGCTCAACCACTTTATGTTGTTTTACACAAAAACGTTATGTGGTTATTCCTACCAGAAGATGAACTGTACAAACAACCCCACCAAAGGATGCTTTCTTCACTGGTATTAAAAAAAGCAAAGGAGAAGAACACCACACATTTATCAGAAACATTTTCATCAGCTTCTCCTTCAGGCTGTAAATCCAATTTTCAAATTGAACAACAACAAAAAAGGTAGCATTCAATCTGTCAAGTAAATTTTGGTATTCTTTATTAACTGCTTAAGAGACCTATTAAATTAATGCTTCCAGTTATTCCCATACACTGATGGAATTTTTACACATCTTTCCCCTTCCAGAACAGCAAGACTCTGGAGATCCAGTCTTGGCTACTCTAGCCCCAAGCAACACTACAGGATAAAGACATGTTTTGAATTATGTCATGTTGAACTTCAATGGGAATAGCTTCAAGGAAACTGAGTAACTTATAAGGGATAAGTAGTAAACAATAGTCTTCAGAAAACCCCATCAGTCTTCACCCTACAAAAACAGTTTGCATAACTAAGTTTGTATGAACTGTTCATTTTAACTTTATAACAAAACTAAGTTCTGAAAGCTTAAGCTCCATTTAAAACAACAGCATTAACTGCTAACTACTTACCACTAACTCACAGCAAATCTCAGAATCAGCAGAAAAATGACAGAGAGCAGAAGATTCTTCTTCAAGATCTGTTTTAACAAAGCAGTTTTCTCCACTGCCTTAACTACTACACATCACCATAGTTATTCTACTCCACAAGCAGAATCAGTCTTCCTTTCATAATTGCTTCTATTTTAGGATTCTGAAGAGGTTACAACATTTCTTGGTCTGAGAGTGACCAGGGATTAAGTGAGAGACTGATTTGTGCAGAGCAAGCTCTCCTCCTATGTTTCCTACAACCATGAAGGAAGTGGGATACCTGTTTTACTCCTGGACACAATATGCTCCTCGTCTTTGCATGCTGACTGAGGCAAGATTCTAAGTCCCCTCTGCTATATAGAGAAGCCTTTTCAGTTTCTGCTTTGTAATCAGCAAGAAGTTAAACTGACAGGACAACTACACAATAGATTTTGAACAGTTCAGAATTGCTTTTAAAGGATCACAATTTATGACACAGTTTTACATAATCAGTTGTTTGTTCCTCACAGTCCAGAAAGAGACAATATTACAATCTACTGATCTTCAATTTGTACTGTCAGAGATTCCTTATGAAGCAATTCTATCACTATTTCTATCTATCTGATCTTAGTTGTAACAGAACTCCTCTACATCAGTGTTCCCTTCCCCCCCCCCCCACTTTCCTCCAGAAAACATGGAATTTTCATCAGAAGCATAAACATACTTTTTCCCCCCCTATGTGATTAACACATTAACAATCTACAAAAAACAGCAGTTACAAGTGGGGATTATCAGGGGACAAAGTCTGCCTCTACGTGCAGGCCCACTGTGAAACACTACCACAACTTCCATCCTCACATGGGAACCACTCAGAAAGACGGCACTCCACAAAGCACCAGGCTGCTGCTACAATCCAGAGCAGTCATTGCTGGCGCTGTTTGCCCACAGCAGCTGTAGGGCAGAACACATGGAGCTTTTAACTTACATCAGAAAGTCACAGAGGGATTCAGTGTTTGAACACAACACACTTCTACATCCCTTCCATACTGTGCAAGAAGTAAACAGGCCACTAAGCACTGTTAGAAATATAAATAGAAATATTTTGCTCCTTTAACCACTCTTTATGCTGGTTATTATGTGCTGGTGGTTATGCTGGATTTGAAAAGCCAATGACAGTATCAGTACCTGAAGTTTGCCCTTAGATTTCACAAAAGCTACCTGCCTCTGTAGCAGCTGCCCCTGCCTTTTCCAAGAAGATAAAAACTTTCTCTAAAATCAAACAGAGAAATTAAGAGAAGCCACAACCACACAGTGTAACTTCATCAGTACCTGCACCTCACAGAGTGACTGGCTCCAGCGGGACTGGCTCTTTCCTAACTGAGCACTCTGTCCTGCTCATTGGTGATACTGCTCGCTCCTCAAAACTGTCTGCAGGATAAACACAGGAGCCCAAGTACTAAGTATTTTCTGATTGGGAGAAAAAGAGGAAGAACTTCTTTTCCTGAGCGAAGGCTCTGATAGTTACGGGTGAGGTGCCAGTTACAACGAGGTTAACTCCTACTCCGTAATGCACCTCCCGGACTGACGCTCACCCCACTGCTCCGCAAGATTGGCAACAGAGCCGGGCTAACAACTCCTTCACCAGCAGAGAGCCCAAAGACAACAGCCCAACACGGGACAGCTCCATCTTCCGCCAGAAAAGCCTCCCGGTCCCAGAGGGCACACCGCTCCGCTACCCAGGCAGAAAGAGGGCAGAGAGCAGGGATGCGAGGCGCTCTCCTCGACGAAGCGAACCCCTCCCCTCTCCCGAACGCGGTCTCAGCGCCGGGACAAACACCCCGGCAGGACGAGGCCGCCGATAACGCTACGGTGGAGGAGGCGGAAGGGGGGAGGAGGAAGAAGGGAGGGAAGGGGAGGTCCCGTACCCGCGCCTCCCTGCAGAGCAGCAGCTCCGGGTAGCTGAACTCCACGCAGCCCTCCTCGGTGGGGTCCTTCAGCACCACCTCCAGGCGGACCGTCTGGCGGAGCGGGAGCGCCTCCTGCGGCGGCGGCGGCTCCTGCCGGCTGCCCTGGCGCGGCGGCGGCGGCTCGGGCCGGGGGGGTTCCCGCTGCGGCGGCTGCTCGGGCCGGCCGGGCTCGCGGGGCGGCTCCAGGCGGGCGGCGCTCTCCCGGGGCGCCGGCGGCGGCGGCTCCGTCAGTGGCACCTCGCGGCCCGCCGGCGGCGGCTCCGGCTCGCGGCCCCCCGGCTCCCGCTCCAGCGCCGGACTCTCGGCCTCGCGGCGCCTCACGGGTGACAGGCTAATGAACGGCACCCGGCGCGGCTCCGCCATCCTCCGCCGCCCCCCCGCCCTCTCACCGGCCCCCGCCTCGCGCGAACGGTGACACCGCTCTCCGCGTTCCCTCCTCCCGGCTCCTCCTTCTCCCCTCCCCCCTCCGCCGCCCGGTCTGAGCTGCCCCCTACGTTCTCCTCGCCGCCTCCGCCATCTTGGCGCCCCCCCACATAAATAGAAGCAGGCCCGAGGCCGCGCACGCGCCCCGAGGCCGCCGACACCGTCGTACCGCCCCGCGTCGCGGCTGTTATTGCTCAGCTTCCCCTCGACGTCAGCGCGCCCGACGGCGCCCGCCCTCGGTTGCCATGGCGATGTGCACGCTGCCGCCGTCGGAGCCTTAAAGGGGCCGCCCGCACGCGCCGCGCCGCGCGGGGCAATGGCGGCCGAACCGCTGCCGTCCCCACCCCCCTGCCTCGCGCCGCACCGTTGGCGCCCGGGGATCGCGCGCGCGGGAGGGGAGCGGCCGCCTTGAGCGAAAGCCCCGCCGAGGCGGGAAAGGAGAGGGGAGAGCAGGGGTAGCGCGGGACGGGGTGAGGTGCGATCTGCGCTGTCCGCGGAGGCGGCCCCCACCGCCGACGGGCCTGGGCCTGTGTAGGGCCCGAAATGGCTCCTTGAGGAGCTGACCTCCTTGAGGTCCTGCCCTGGTGGTCCCGTGAGGAAAGCGGGCTCTGCGGCCGTGTGAAGTGCTGTTGGCAGTAGGCTGGTGAGAAGAACTGCTCTCTGCACACACGAAGAAGGCAGGGTGTGAGCAGCATGCTTCCAAGAGCTTGAGCTGCCTGCAAGCAGGGTGCCTCAGTCTGCCACCTCCTACCTGACAGACTGATGCTGGCACTGCCAGGCAGGGTATGCCGACAAAAAAAGCACTGTGGAATCTCAGGAAACCATGAGCATCCCCATAACATATATTCACCTGCACTGGAGCGGGCAGGAGGAAGATGTTATCATCTTTTGTTCTTCCTTGGCTTCAGTGTTTCTGAGGCAGCTGTGTTCTCCTTTTAATTTAAAATGTACTCATGTTATGCAAGATGAGTGTAATCTGTGTATCTATTTTGATATTTACAACAAACCATTCCACACAGCCCATTACCCACTTTCCAATCTGCCTTCAGCACAGCTCTGTGATGTTTTCATCTCCCTGCACGTGAAGTTTTTTGACTTGTCTACTCTATGCTGCAGAGAACGTTCACAAAATTGGAATGCTGTTCCTGAACACTACAGTTTCACTAAAGGGAATGGAGAATGCTTCAGAATCTTACTTGCAGCAGGAAGTCATGGAGTGCCTGACCAGGTCTAGGGAACATTGCCCTGAAGTTCTTCTGAAAGGCTTTGTTGAATGCTGTAGTCAAAGAGATTTCTTTTGTCTTAAAACCTTTCATGTTCCAGTACAAGTAGGTCTACAAAGGTGGTAAAGGATCCAGAGGGGAAGATATATAAGCAGTGATTGAGGTCCCTGGGTTTGCTCAGTGCAGAGCAGAGGAGCTGAAGAGCGGCCTAATGGCGGCTGCAGCACCTCATAGGGAGTGAAGGGGCAGCGCTGAGCTCATCTCTGTGTGACAGCGACAGGGCCCAAGGGAACGGCATGGAGCTGCGTCAGGGGAGGGGCAGCTGGGGGTGAGGGACAGGGTCTGCACCAGGGGTAGAAGGCATGGAATGGGTCTGCCCAAGGCAGTTGGCATGGCCCTGAGCTGTTGGAGTTCAAGAAGAATGGTCTCAAACAATAGGGTTTGATTTTTGGGTCACCAGGAGTTGGTCTCGATGATCCTTATGAGTCCCTTCAGGATATTCTATGATTTGATGAGCTAGCAAGTGTGGCACAGGTATTCCTCACATACATTTCAACTTTCAACATCATAAAACTATTTGTAAATCCCACCTGTTTTTCTGTTGCAAATTTCATACATTTATCAGATGAGGCACACAATAACTACTTCTGGACTCAGTTGTCGCTAAGCTCCAGACCTGCAGATCCTGCTCTGCAGATTCTAGTCCTCATCAAAGTTTCTACATAGCCTGTACTATTAAGGCTTCTGATGGTAGAAGGAGACCTTTCCTTGTCAAAAGAGTAATTTAGTGCTGAGCAAACAGAAGTGTAACTGGGAAATACTGGGCTCTTTTGTGACTCTGCTGAATGCTTGTTTTCGAATACCATATGGGAGATGAGAGCTTGAAGTACAGTATAGTAACAGGAATATAACAATTTATGTTCATAGGTAATGTTTGCACATATTCTGGAAAGGGGTGAAGATAAGCTGTGCACTGGAGGAATCCAACTTACAAGTTGACTCTGACTTTCAGTCCTGTAGATACATATTCAGATGTAATGAATGTAAGACATGTACTCCACAAGAAAATGAAGCTTGCAAGTTATCTGGAACCAGTACTTAAAATTCTGTTGATTATTGTGTAGATACACTTGAAACGACATCTTTGTCAGATTTGTAACGTGCTTAAAAAAAAAAAAAAAAGAGCAATAATTGATCTCATCTTCGATAGGGTTACAGAGGAAAATAGTGCTAGTTCTTGGAAGCAGTAGGCAGCCATTTATTCTAAGTTAAGACAATGCAGACTTTGATATAAGTAGCAGCCTTTCTCACATATAAGGTTTCTGTGGATACTTATTGTTGCATTTATATTCCCCCCTCTTCCTCCTCTCTTCTGGGAGATTAGCTAGATAAATAAATCCTCAGAGACCTGTTTCATCTAACATCTGAGCATCTTGGAGCACACCTCTTTTTTATGAGGCTGAACATTTGTTTATATGGCTAGACAAATAGTGGTTCTGGATGTCTGAATTTAAAGTGAAGTTACCAAAGCAAGCTTGCTGTAGATCTTAATATCTTGAACTAAATCATAAAGAATCTTGGCAGTAGATCCAAGTGTAGCAGGCGCTGGAATAAAGTACCAATCGGTGGATTACAGACTTGTGTACAGAAATGGGTATTGGCTTCAATGTGTTGTAATTGATGGTGGCAACACTGGAATATTGCAAAATTTGCACCAGATGAGTCCTATGAATGCTCACTTAGGGACAGAAAGAACACTATGCAAGTTTCCTGGACCTACTGAAATAATATGAGGCTGAAGGTGACATTTTCTGAATCACGTCATTATCTGTTACGAGATGTGGTGTCACCATTATGAGCCGGAGTCAAAACAGTATTCCATGGAGTGGCAATGTGAATTTCCATTGAAGAAAAAAGTTGAAGATGCAACCCTCAGTGGATAAAATGATGTGCTCTGTCTTTTGGGATGGAAAAGGGATGGTCCTTCTGGATTTCCTAGAACCAGACAAGCCATCAATTCTGACCACTATGTTGTAAGGCTGACTAAGCTGAAGGCTCAAACTTCCAGAATCAGAATCTTCCAGAATCTTTTTCTTGCAATACAATAATGCCAGGCCTCACACCACTTTGAAGACCATGGAGCACATTGCCACACCCACCGTATCATCTGGATTTGGTGCCTTCTAACCTCCGTCTGTTTGGGCCAGTGAAAGGTGGACTGCATGAGCAATGTTTTTGTAGCAATTACACTGCCATAGCAGCTGTGATACAGTGGGTCACCTGCACTGATGCAGATTTTCTATGAGCACAGCATGCAGGCTGTTGTTCATTGCAGTTGAAATAGCTAATAGTGGTGACTATATTGAAAAATAGCATTTTTTTATCTGAGAATTTGCTCGATCAAATAGTGCTATTGTGCTGTTTGTATCTGTTGCCTTACTTTTGGAACAACCTATATAAATTTTCTTGCTTAAGTTTATGTGGCCTGGAGTGGCAGCTTTAAGAGCTTCTACTTTGTTTAAGGTGAACACTGGATTCTCCAGTGAAGTAGGAGCCAGACAGAACTCAGTCACTCAAAATTCACCAAAGGACACCTCTGTTCATTTGGGGCTTTGTTTTTGTGACTGCATCTTCATTTTTCACAGGTTGTTTCTTCACCATCTCTTCCTGAAGTCTTGGTTTCTTATAGTCCAACCAGGCATCTTGTTGATTGCTGTGGTCCCTTCACTGAAACTGCTGCAACTTTCTTTGCTGTGTCAGGAGATGCTGCAGCTGCAGGTAGGATGACATTGGTGTAGCTTTTGCTAGAAACGCTTCTGCATCACAAGAATCCACTGCACCAGCAGTGTGGCTGGCCTTGCTGTTTTTACATGTAAGAAGGCTTTCTGAATTTGCATGTTTGTTTTTTTTTCCACTTGTCTTTTCTACCTACATTTTTTCTAAGTTTTCTCCTGGCTAATCCAGAAAGCAATGCCACAACCAATGGAATATAAAACTTGATCAAGATTCTTTCAATAAATGCAGGAAAATGGATATAACACAGCCCAAGGAGTAATAAACCTCTTTGTTTCTCCAAAGGAAGCGTCAGTGTAATGCAAACCATTTGGAAAAAAGTGTTCTTCCTTTAAACAAAAATACAAAAATCTTGCAGAACATACCTCAAGCTTTCTTTCCTTTAGGAGAGAAATACTATTTAATTCTGCCAGGCAGGAATCAGGCGTATGTGTTCAGAGTTGTTACCAGATACCACACTTTTAAAAGGTCCGAAGTTCTCTTATTTAGTGAGGAAGACAGTACTTTAGAAGGACAGTAGGCAGGTGGACGAATACCAGATGTTGAGGGTTAGGAAAAGCTCATTGGCTTCAGGGAATTAGGAAATGCTTTACAAGGGAATTTATCACAGTTTCAAGGTAGAGGAATAGTGGTGAACTTTATCCCACACATTGGTATATTGCACCCTATGAACTGGTCAAACCTTACTTCTTGAGAATAAAAGTTTGAACCTATGAGACACTCAAAATCTTTCAAGAACTTTAAGAAAAGCTTTGAACAAACTTAGTCAAAAAATCAAATTTTCAATGGCAACGGGACATTTATTCTCCTTTTAAAGTAGCAATGGCTTACATTCAAAATGTTTTCAAAAGGCTACATTCAAACTGCTCCTGGAGCTAGAGATCTCCCCCTGGAAATGCTCTTTTCCTTCAGACTTGGCTTTAGATACCTCCATTTCCT